CAGGAGTGACGTCATCCCGCACCAGCCAGTGAAAACAGCTGAAGACCAACCCCATGTAGAAGATGTTGGCACTAAGAAGGGACTGTTGGTAAGGTGAGTATTAACCCCTTTAGTTCCACTTTAATTGTATGACTGTCTGTCCTTGTACCCACAATATCTACAGAGGGTGGACAACCCTTAAAAAATTCCATAAAGCCTCATTATTTATTTTTACCATGCCTAAGTATCAGGTATTCCCAGCATGAAATACAACAGCATCTGGATTCAGTAACAGCTACTGCACAAGGATTATCTAGAAGCAATAAGTAAAAATAAAAAATCTCATTATTGTCCTTCAGCAAATACGTTCTGTATTTTCAGAAGTCACAATCCTGTGTCAATAAATGAAATCAAATTTGCATTTCAAAATTATGTCTGGAGCAAAACTAGTGTGTGACTGATTAGGCAAAAGCAAACAACACGAGCTCTCAGAAGCCTTCGGAGCCTCTGCAGCGCTCTATTACAGGCAGGAATTGTGCGTCTCTCCAGAAAGCACCACTGATGCAATTAGAACACAACCTGCATTGCTGAGAGGCGATAAGGTGATTAACTGACTGTCTACAAGACTCAATCATCTCAAAACAAAGCGGATGGTGATATAGGATTTAGTTATAACACAACATGATGTTCTACAGCACAGAACAACAATATCTAAAAATCCTGTTTTCATATGACAGCAATGTAGGACTACCCCAGGCGACTTGGTAATAAATATGTCAAGTGCACAGTAACACTATTTACCTCACTTTGATTTTTTTATTTGCCTGTGCAGCTTTTGGATAGTGCCCAGTTTGTGTAGATTTCAGCCAATAGTCTATAAAAAGTGAAAATGCTAATTAAAGCTGACCTCTGGGATAAGCATATATTGTCTAAATATAAGAGTCATGTGTAGAAAAGGAATGTTTAGTGAGCGCTACCATAGGAGTAAAATAAATAAATACACACGCCGCTGAAACACCAAAATAAAGGTAACCAAAAAACCTCCAGAAATATATGAATCAAAATAGACAGGTGCAGCGCTGAGTAATGATAAACCCTTATAGTATACACACTTTCATGCAATATCAACTGGTGCAAACAGATGATGTCACCGAATGGTGATTCTCAGTGACTAAATAGTTCAATAGGGTATGGTAAAATCGTGCGGATCCTGAAGGATCACAATGCCAGGTGTGTGGATATCCTGATCCGGGAGTGATAGATGGTGTGCTTCAAATGAATGAAATACGCACTCACCAGAAGTGCGTTTATAACACATATGAAATCCTGCGTTTCCAAACAATTAGTGAATCATCTGTTCCCAGGTCAGGTCATACATCAGATAACCATCTGGACATATCAGCATAGAGGTATCACGATCCTTTGGTGCGTATCGCCATCTTGGGTCATCTCTTTTAGAATGGGCACTGCAAATGAAGGCACTCACACAGAGTGCCCAATAAGAGACCACATAGTGTGATACTGTATATAGTACCTTTATTCCAGTTAAATGAGTGTTACAGGTAATCAAATAAAATGTACTGACCATATGTTCAAAGTGGCCACCAGCGGTGGTCAGATGTCCGGTTGCTGTAGCTCCTGACGCGTTTCGTGCGATGCACGTAGTCATAGGGTACAAGGGCTAAGAGTCATGTGTGTTCTTACTTGTATCTTGGTGTGCTTTGTGTATTTCTTCCAGATCTGTGTAGTAATCCAATGGGAAACTTTACCTCTGTGCAGGAGCTTCCTGTAATAAAGACCGGTCAGTGATGCTTTCTTTCCTTGTGCAGGGTGACTGGTCCTGTTTCCGCCCCCTCCTGTACTTTTCTACAGGCTGCTTGTAGTGGGTGGGGCCTGCAGGGTGCTTCCCACAGCTCTGCTCTCTGCACAGTAAAGCACAGTGATGAAGACAATGCTACTTTTGCAACATAATATATGGGTTTGAAAATGCATTTGATGCACACTAAGTGGATTTACAGTATCTCACAGAAGTGAGTCCACCACTCATATTTTTGTAAATATTTTATTATATCTTTTCATGTGACAACACTGAAGAAATTATACTTTGCTACAATGTAAAGTAGTGAGTGTACAGCTTGTATAACAGTGTGAAGTGTGATGGACTGGCCAAGTATGTCTCCAGACCTAAACCCTATTGAGCATCTGTCGGGCATCCTCAAGTGGAAGGTGGAGGAGCGCAAGGTCTCTAACATCCACCAGCTCTGTGATGTCGTCATGGAGGAGTGGAAGAGGACTCTAGTGGCAACCTGTGATGCTCTGGTGAACTCCATGCTCAAGAGGGTTAAGGCAGTGCTGGAAAATAATGGTGGCCACACAAAATATTGACACTTTGGGCCCAATTTGGACCTTGTCACTTAGGGGTGTACTCACTTTTGTTGCCAGCGGTTTAGACGTTAATGACTGTGTGTTGAGTTATTTTGAGGGGACAGCAAATTTACATTGTTATACAAGCTGTACACTCACTACGTCACATTGTACAGTTGTGTTCAAAATAATAGCAGTGTGTTGAAAAAAAAGTGAATAAAGCTCAAAATCCTTCTAATATCTTTTATTTCCATACACACAAATGCATTGGGAACACGACACATTCTATTCTAAATCAAAACATGAAGAAAAATATATCAAATTTGTGTTGTTCCTCTAAAAAAATTGAAGAAAAGTGAATATTAGACTGTTCAAAAAAATAGCAGTGTTTGTATTCTTCTTTACAAACTCAAACATTCACTATATAAACTGAACAATGTTTGAAGATTTTGCTTTCCTTTGAATCACTTAATGAATATTTAGTTGTATAAGCACTGTTTCTGAGAACTGCTGTACATCTGTGTTGCATGGAGTCACCCAACTTCTGGCCCCTGTGATCAGGTATTCCAGCCCAGGATGATTGGACTACATTCCACAGTTCTTCTCTATTTCTTGGTTTTGCCTCAGAAACTGCATTTTTGATGTCCCCCCACAAGTTTTCTATTGGATTAAGATCCGGGGATTGGGCTGGCCACTCCATAACGTCAATCTTGTTGGTCTGGAACCAAGATATTGCACGTTTACTGGTGTGTTTGGGGTCGTTGTCTTGTTGGAACATCCATTTCAAGGGCATTTCCTCTTCAGTATAAGGCAGCATGATCTCTTCAAGTATTCTGATGTATTCAAACTGATCCATGATCCCTGGTATGCGATAAATAGGCCCAACACCGTAGTATGAGAAACATCCCCATATCATGATGCTTGCACCACCATGCTTCACTGTCTTCACAGTGTACTGTGGCTTGAATTCAGTGTTTGGGGGTCGTCTGACAAACTGTCTCTGCCCACTAGACCCAAAAAGAACAATCTTACTTTCATCAGTCCACAAAATGTTCCACCATTTCTCTTTAGGCCAGTCAATGTGCTCTTTGGCAAATTGTAACCTCTTCAGCGCGTCTTTTTTTCAACAGTGGGACTTTGCGGGGGCTTCTTGCAGATAGCTTGGCTTCACATAGGCGTCTTCTAATTGTAACAGTACTCACAGGTAACTTTACACCTTCTTTGATCTTCCTGGAGCTGATTGTTGGCTGAGTCCTTGCCATTTTGGCTATTCTTCTATCCATTCGAATGGTAATTTTTCGCTTTCTTCCACGTCTTTCAGGTTTTGGTTGCCATTTTAACTAGTTGCCGACTGCAGATAGCCGAATGACGGCTGCACTGCAGCCGGCCAGTTCTGAGTGGACGTCATATGACGTCCTCCCAGAACGCGCTCTCCTGCGCGCCCCAGGGGGCGCGCACCCGGCGATCTCCGTGATCGCTATGTCCTACGGACACAGCTGATCACGTGATGTGGTAAAAGGCCCAATCACAGCGGCCTTTTACCACGTGATCAGCAGTGTCCAATGACACGCTGATCAGAGGGAAATGCAAGTGCCGGTTCTCGGCTGCACTTTCCTCACGCTGTCAGATCGTGAGGAAAGTACTGCCGAGAACCGGCAGTTGTCAGAGCGGGGATCGGCACCGATCATCAGGGCACTGATGATCAGTGCCCTGATGATCGGTGCCCAGCAGTGCCACCCGCAAGTTCCGCCCACCTGTGCCCAGCAGTGCGCCCACTAGCTCCGCCCACCTGTGCCCAGCAGATCACCCACCTGTGCCCAGCAGTGCACCCACCTGTGTCCAGCAGTGCACCCACCTGTGCCACTCTGCAGTGTCACACACCTGTGCCCAGAAGTGCCACCTACCTGTGCCCAGCAGTGCCACCCACCTGTGCCCACCCACCTGTGCCCACTAGTGCCACCCACCTGTGCCCACCCACCAGTGCAGCCCAGCAGTGCTGCCAGTCAGTGCCACCAGTCAGTGCCCAGTGGCGATTAAATACCACCAAAAGAAAGCTCTATTTGTGTGAAAAAAATGATCAAAATTTCATATGGGTACAATGTTGCATGACCGCGCAAATTGTCAAAGTGCGGCAGCGCTGAAAGCTGAAAATTGGCCTGGTAAATAAGGGGGTATAAGTGCCTGGTAGGCAAGTGGTTAAAGCATTTGCGATCATTTTAGCTGAGCAGCCGATCATTTTCTGCACTTCTTTATATGTTTTCCCCTCTCCAATCAACATTTTAATCAAGGTACTCTGTTCTTCTGAACAATGTCTGGAACGACCCATTTTCCTTAGAAATTCAGAGAGAAATGCACTGTAACCAGCATGTACAACATTTGCTGCCTTCCTTCCTTACCCACTTGCCTACCAGGCACTTATACCCCCTTCCTTACCAGGCCAATTTTCAGCTTTCAGCGCTGCCGCACTTTGATTGACAATTGCGCGGTCATGCAACATTGTACCCATATGAAATTTTGATCATTTTTTTCTCACAAATAGAGCTTTCTTTTGGTGGTATTTAATCGCCACTGGGCGCTTTACTTTTTGCGCTATAAATTAAAAAAGTGCAAAAAATTTGAAAAAAAAAAAAGTTTCTTTGTTTCTATTATAAAATTTTTCAAACAGGTATTTTTTCTCCTTCACTGATGTGCGTTGATGAGGCAGCACTGATGGGCACTGATAGGCGGCACTGATGGGCACTGATAGGCAGCACTAAAGGGCACTGATAGGCAGTACTAATGAGGTGGCACGGATAGGCGGCACTGATAGGCAGCACTAATGAGGTGTCACGGATAGGCGGCACTAATATGCAGCACTGATAGGCGGCACTGATAGGTGACACTGATGATGGGTACTGATAGATGGCACTGACTGGCGGCACTGACTGGCACAACCGATGGGCACTGACTGGCAGCACTGCTGGGCTGCACTGGTGGGTGGCACTGGTGGGCAGCACTGGTGGGTGGGCACAGGTGGGTGGCACTGGTGGGCATAGGTGGGTGGCACTGGTGGGCACAGGTGGGTGGGCACAGGTGGGTGGCACTGGTGGGCACAGGTAGGTGGCACTTCTGGGCACAGGTGTGTGACACTGCAGAGTGGCACAGGTGGGTGCACTGCTGGGCACAGGTGGGTGCACTGCTGGGCACAGGTGGGTGCACTGCTGGGCACAGGTGGGCGGAGCTAGTGGGCGCACTGCTGGGCACAGGTGGGCGGAACTTGTGGGTGGCACTGCTGGGCACCGATCATCAGTGGCCCTGATGATCGGTGCCGATCCTCGCTCTGACAACTGCTGGTTCTCGGCAGTACTTTCCTCACGATCTGACAGCGTGAGGAAAGTGCAGCCGAGAACCGGCACTTGCATTTCCCTGTGATCAGCGTGTCATTGGACACCGCTGATCACGTGGTAAAAGGCCGGTATGATCGGCCTTTTACCACATCTCGTGATCAGCTGTGTCCGTACAACACAGCGATCACGGAGATCGCCGGGGTGCGCGCCCCCCTGGGGCGCGCAGGAGAGCGCGTTCTGGGGGGACGTCATATGACGTCCACCCAGAACTGGCCGGCCGCAGTGCAGCCGTCATTCGGCTATCTGCGGTCGGCAACTAGTTAAATAAGGGCAATAATTGACACCTGTTTTTCAAAGAATGAATGACCTCACTAATAGAACTCCACACTGCTATTATTTTGAACATGCCCCTTTCAATTAGTGATTCAATTGCACAGAATCAGCAGCATGCATGTCATGACTGTTGGGTCTGTTGGATTTCTATTACTCTACTACACCTGCTAGTAAATTATTTGCCATGTAGAAATATTTCTACCAAAAACAGTGATTGATCAGGTTAGTGATGTCTGACTGCTATTATTTTGAACACAACTGTAGCAAAGTGTAATTTCTTCAGTGTTGTCACATGAAAAGATAGAATCAAATATTTACAAAAATGTGAGGGGTGTACTCACTTCTGTGAATATTTATATGAAAGTTTTTGTGCTTGGAGTTCAGCTTTAAAGCAGTATTAAACCCAAAACCAATATATATATATATTGCAGCTTACCAATCATTAGATGTGGTGGCTGCATTAGTTTTCTTATCTTTTTCCCCTTGTTTGCACCTGGTGATCTGGCCAGTACCACACTTACTATATTAGTGAGACGCCACTGCGGAGGAATGAGAACAGGACACAGCAGACAGCAGCATTGTCAGTCTGGGGGGATTGGAGTGTCAAATGTATTAACATTAGATTTGAATACAGTAACAAACTGAAGCCAAACTCCAGCTCACACTTTATAAGCAGTTACAGCAAACAGTTTTTCTTTTGAGATAAAGGTTTTACATGAATAAATAAAAACTGATCATTTGAATCACCCCTGTAAGTGGTAAATGGATTGTCCCATCCATATAAACAGATACACTCTGCTAGAGAGTTGTTCTTCTGAAACACAGCAGACTTGCTGGCTGAATCCCCAGGTGAAAACAGAAGATAGAAAGCCCAAAAATGGAGATTAGTGCAGTCATCACATCTAAGAATTGGTAAACTGCAATGTAATAAATATTTGCTTTTGGGTTTAATACCGCTTATATGCCATATAGTGGTGTGAACATATAAGACAAGGCATTTTGCCTTGTCGGCCAGTAGGACTGCTCTGGAATAGCCACCCAGCACAGTCCTACTGCAACTGGTGTGAATGGGCCCCTAAAGTATCTAGTACCCCTAGAGTAGAGAAATTATTAGAACCTCTGTCAGGCTTTTATTGCTTCTGGGTCTCTGTTTGGGAGATTTACTGCATCTGTTGTAAAATTAGGGTCCATTTACACTATGTTGTTGCAGTAACACATCATCATCATTACTGCAGTGTATGTTATGCGCTTTGCTGTGTTGTGTAACCATACATCTTGAATGGCACCCCAACACACTGAAGCAATGCAACTGCGTTGCAGCACATGGTAACTCATGCTGGTGCAGTGCATGGCATAAAAAGAGTCAAGTCCAATTTTCAGCACATTGGGGTGCATTAACAGCCCTTTATTTTCAATGGGCTGCATCAACTCAGCTCACCACAAAATTGTAAATAGGCCCTAAAAAAAAAAAACTAAATTGCTCCTCTATTCCAGAGCAGGAAAAAAGTTAATTTGTTTTGGTGACAACTCTCTTAGGCACTATATGCACTCGTGATTCCTGCGGCTGGGATTGAGAGCTATGTATGGATAGCAGCAACCTCCAAGCCCATACACTGCAATGACAAGTTGTTGACGACCGCAGATATTTGTGCATGTTTGCACAGCCAGCAAACACATGCGGTGATCATGGCTTGACGCACAAAGTAAGCTGCTATCCGCACACAACTGTCAGTCCCAGCAACAGGAACCAGTACATTCTTGTCAATGAAATTCACACCTTGGCTAAACACCCATTTGAATGCATTATACCTCACTTTGGAAAGATTTCCTCTCACTTGTTAGTTTGCCTTTGGGATAGCAATTGCGGTGAAATCCTTTGAATGGGATATGCATGGAATAAAAACCTGAAAGAGGTTCTAACCATTCTTTATCCAAAATAAGTATTGGCAAAATTGGTTTTATACTACTTTAATTCTTGCTCCATTATCTTCTTCTGATTAGATTAGGTTACCTAAGCATTCAATGCAGGTATTGCTATAAATTCATGAGTTGTATCCCGACTGGTTGACACTCCAAAAAAAATGTATTATTTTTTTGAATTGAGCAAGAGGGCTGCATTTTTTTTATTGCAGTCTGTCTTTACTGTCTTCTGCTATAAGACAACTATTATTATTATTATACAGGATTTATATAGCGCCAACAGTTTGCGCAGAGCTTTTCAATATAAGGGACACAGTACAATTACATTTCAGTACAGAAGGAATAGGAGGGCCCGGCTCGTGGAGCTTACAATCTAAAGGAAGGGGGAGGTTATACAAAAGGTGATAGCTGCGGGGGATGATCTGGCGGAGGTGATTCAAGTACAGTTCTTAGGTGGAGGTGGGGTAGGCTTCCCTGAAGAAGTGAGTTTTCAAAGATCGCCTAAAGGCAGACAGGGTGGGGGCTGACCGGACATGCTGTGGTAGGGAGTTCCAGAGGATGGGGGAGGCTCTGGAGAAGTCCTGGAGGCGAGCGTGGGAGGAGGTGATGAGGGAGCTAGAGAGGAAGATATCATGGAAAGAGCGGAGTAGGCGATTTGGGCTGTATCTGTGGATGAGGTTGGTGATGTAGCTAGGGGCAGTGTTGTGGATGGCTTTGTAAGCTGTGGTTAGTATTTTGAATTTTATACGTTGGGTTAGTGGAAGCCAGTGGAGGGATTGGCAGAGAGGGGCAGCAGTCACTGATCGGTTGGTAAGGTGTATGAGTCTAACAGCAGCATTCATAATAGACTGAAGGGGGGATAACCTGTGTAACGGTAAACCAGTGAGGAGGGAGTTGCACTAATTGAGGCGGGATATAACCAAGGCATGGATTAGTTGTTTTGTGGTGTCATTGGTCAGGAAGGGGCGGATTTTGGAAATGTTCCGGAGGTTGAGGCGCCAGGAATTAGCCAGTGAGTCGATGTGGGGCCCAAAGGAGAGGTCAGAGTCTAGGTGGCAAATGAGGTTCAATGTAGTGAAATGTAAAGTGATGCACTTAGGGGTTAAAAATATGAATGCAGGCTACATGCTAGGGGGAGAACCTCTGGAAGAGTCAACGATGGAAAATAATTTGAGGGTCCTAGTTGTTGAGCATGTAGCATGTAATGCCAAGCTGCAGCAGGCAAAACCAGCAAACTATTAGCATGCATTAAGCCCTGGTTCACACTATTGCTGTGCGGGAAACCCCGCAAAAACTTTGCGTTTCCTGCACCACATTGCAATCATACAGTGTCATGCGATCTGGTTCAGGTGTCAATGTTAAATTAACGACACCCCTAAACAGATCGTAAAACACAGTGTGATTACCAGAATTCACAATACATGGGTGTGAACACCCATGCGATGCGAATCAGGTGCGGAAAAAAAAAAAAAAGGTCCTGCGCCTTTTTTTGGTGAAGATGCGATGTGATTTGAGCCATGCAAAGTGTATGGCTCAAATCGCACCGGTCAGACATCGCATGTGATTTGCACAGGAATGCTGTGCGGTTCCTGTGCAAATCACATGCATTGTGCCGCACCGCATTAGTGTGCTCCAGGGCTGAAAAGGGGATATACTCACAAGATAAATCTATAATTCTACCACTCTACAAAACTCTGGTTCGGCCACATCTTGAATATGTTGCTCAGTTCTGGTCACCAGTCCTCAGGAAGGATGTGCTGTATTTGGAGAGAGCCTAGAGAAGGGCAATCAAACTAATAAAGGGACTGGAGGACCTCAGTTATGAGGAAAGGCTACACACATTCAGCTTATTTTCCCTGGAGAAGAGACACTTAAGAGGAGATATGATCACATTATATACCGTATTTTTCGCTTCATAAGACGCACTTTTTTCCCCCAAAAAAGGGGGGGAAATGTCAGTGCGTCTTATGGAGCGAATATAAAGCGGCCGGTCCGGTATTTCCGCCACCACCATGTCAGAATACCGGGCCGGCCGCTCAGCTGTTCTCTCCTGCAGAGCCTTACCTGTTCCTCGCTCCAGCGCTGCGCAGTCTTCCCGCGCTGGCTTCTGTGACAGCCGGGTGCCCACTGCGCATGTGCTGCCCTTTGTGAATGATCCGGTGTCTTCTGGGACACATGACAGGTCCCAGAAGGCGCCGGGCCATTCACAAAGCGCAGCGCTTCTCGCGCATGTGCAGTGGGCACCCGGCTGTCACAGAAGCCGGCCCGGGAAGAAGAGGGAAGGACAACTCCGCGGAAGTGGGAGCGGGTACCTGTCAAATTCAGGTACCCGCTCCCCCCTCCCTCCCCAAAGGTCAGCAGTCTCTGGTCATTCCCTGCACTGTCTCCAGTCTCTGGTCATTCCCTGCACTGTCTGCAGTCTCTGGTCATCCCCTGCACTGTCTGCAGTCTCTGGTCATCCCCTGCACTGTCTGCAGTCTCTGGTCATCCCCTGCACTGTCTGCAGTCTCTGGTCATTCCCTGCACTGTCTGCAGTCTCTGGTCATCTCCTGTATTATGTCTGCAGTCTCTGGTCATCCCTGCACTGTACTGTCATCCCCTGCCGCAGTCTCTGGTCATCCCCTGCACTGTGTCCGCAGTCTCTGGTCATCTCCTGCACTGTGTCCGCAGTCTCTGGTCATCTCCTGCACTGTGTGTCCGCAGTCTCTGGTCATCTCCTGCACTGTGTCCGCAGTCTCTGGTCATCTCCTGCACTGTGTCCGCAGTCTCTGGTCATCTCCTGTCCTGTGTCCGCAGTCTCTGGTCATCTCCTGTGCTATGTCTGCAGTCTATGGTCATCTCCTGTACTGTGTCTGCAGTCTCTGGTCATCTCCTGTACTGTGTCCGCAGTCTCTGGTCATCTCCTGTACTGTGTCCGCAGTCTCTGGTCATCTCCTGTACTGTCATCTCCTGTACTGTGTCCGCAGTCTCTGGTCATCTCCTGTAGTATGTCCGCAGTCTCTGGTCATCTCCTGTACTGTGTCTGCAGTCCATTGGTTCAGAATACTTTTTTTTCTTGTTTTTCGCCTCTAAAACCTAGGTGCGTCTTATGGTCAGGTGCGTCTTATGGAGCGAAAAATACGGTAAATATCTAAATGGTGATTCTGGCATAGGGAGCAATCTGTTCAGTCTCAGGTTGCTGGAGAGGACACGTGGTCACTCAGTAAAGTTGGATGAGAGGTGGTTTAACTTTAAACTGCATTAAGGGGTTCTTTATTGTTAGAACAGTAAGGATGTGGATCTCCTTTCCACAATCAGTGGTGTCAGCTGGAAATGTCGACAAGTTCAACAAATGTTTAGATCTTAGCATCATAGCGAAACCAATATGCAGTGATATGGGAAGAGACATAAACCTATACATGCACCCACACAGGTTGAACTGAATGGACTGATGTCTTTATTCAGCTTTGCCAACCATGTAACTATATAACGTAACTGTTTTCTGAGACCCCTCTGAAGAGATTTATCCCCACTTCCTGTTCACATGACCATACTGCAAGTGATGGGGAGTCTACCTTATAGAAAAAACATTAATAGTAATGTACAAATTGCTTTGTAAATGAGTTGAATCCACACACTGCAGAATTTTTTCCTTCATATAAGCATGCATATATATGCAATCAAGAGAGATTAGTTATAGCAATTTAGCTACTTGTTGAATCCCCTGAAAATATGCAAGTTGATTTATCTGATTTGCAAAAAATCACGCAATTCAGAAATCTAAGCAATTTTGATTCATGAACTGTAGGCCTCATTCACACGAGCGCTAACACCTGTGGTCTGTGAGTGGGGCTGTGTGTTTATGTGACTTAAAGAGTCTCGAGAAAAAAAATTAAAAGTCAGCAGCTATACATACTGTAGCTGCTGACTTTTAATAAAAGGACACTTAGCTGTCCAGGAATCCAGTGCTATCCTCACCCGGGCCGCTACTTTGGCTGTCTTCTTGTCCCTGCCATCTGTGTGTCTAGTGTGGGAAGCTGCTTTCCAACCTGCTTCCCAGGGCACATGCATTAGTCGCTCCACACTTTGTGAATGGTCCCCAGCCTCTTGGGACCTGTGATATTCCCAGAAGGCTGCGGGGGGGGGGGAAGGGGAGGGGAACTACCAGTGGAATCGCCTAGTAGATTCCAGCGGGAGTGGGTACCTGCGAAACATAGGTACCCCCCGCCCTGACAAAAACATTTACCTTCAATATTGTAAGAGGAGAGGGTGAGGATTCCCTAAATAGTAAGTTCCGTTTTAAGCTGCCAGGTTCTGGGTGCAAGCAGCCCATTCATGTCTAGAAACATAGCTTTTGCATGGAATCAGCCGCTCCTCCCAATTCGACAGCCGAGTGGGTGGGGGTGAGCAACCTCGAATCTCCCTTATATATTAGCACTTGGGGAGGCAGTGATGTCATTTGACACCAAGCTTACTCATGGTGGACTCACGCAGTGTGAAGGGTGCAAGGGAGCGTGTATGAGTGTGGATGCTTGGGAGAGTAGGCTATCTGGAGATACTGTCATTTCTGCCCAAACACTCCATTCACAGTTACAAATAGGGCAATGTGCAGTTACATGCAGGAACCTCAGCGGGGGTTTCTGGCAATTAGCTGCGGAAGGGAGGCCTATTGCAAGCAATAGGAGGTTGGCAGTTCTCGCCGCTAATTACAGCTGCTCACAGGTAATCACTCAAGCAGTGATTACCTATGAACGATCAGCTTTGAACACAGACTGTCTGTGTCCAGGGTTGATCATTTGCAGGTATTTACTCCATCAGCGATTACATACGAGCGGCCATGATTAGTTGCAGGAGCTGTTCCCCTCCCATTGCTTTCAATTGAGCTTCCTCCCTCAGCTAATCACCAGGAACTCCCGCTGGGGTTAAGCATGTAATCGCGCACGGCTCCATTCACAAATGTAAATGGGGCCTTAAATGCCAACTCCAGTCCAAGCAAAAACCACCATTTAAGGATGATGGAATGACCTTAGATTTTTCCTCGCTCTCTTTTCCTATCTTTCCCGCTCCAGGGCTTTTACCTCCTACTAATGCTACTGGATTTTATTAACTAAACATCAGTGTGTTCTCTTTAGCCCTGTTTATTTCTCATACTTGTCTTCTCATCACTTATAAATATTGTATGAAGCTTTCACCAGTCCTACAGCCCAGTGTTTAGATGCCGTTATTTCTCATCTGATTATACTGTTCTCTGCATTTAAGCGCTCATATTTCACACAACATTTTTTTCTTTTGCACTGTTGTAATCAAATATCCCTGCCCTACATTCTGATCCGTCTCTCTCTGTAATTGATTTATATATGAATAATGCAGTGCCAGATTATGGCGCATATAAAACACAGGCTTTAGCAGTCTGATTTTTATTATAAGCATCTGTTTGAAACACATATCAGTTGCTTTTCATGACAGTGCCCAACATCTTGCACTAAAGCTTTCTGCACATTCTTGATATAAGACAAGTTAAAAAAAAAGCATGCCATGGTTACCAGTTGTCCCCAATATATAGGGACAGTTCCTGTTCAGTGGCTCAATAGGGTAAAGGAAGTTGCAACTGCTCTTGGGTTGTTTGTCACAGAGGGGATAACGAAGGCACAAGGTTGAGGAAGGCCAATGAATGCGCGATGTATCTCAGTCCGTCGCATGCTAGCAGAGAGTCCAAATTTCCTTAAACAAGCACATTCTGATCTCCCACTGCTGCCACCAGATATCAATGATGCCCATGCTGAATTGCTAACCAGAGCGAGCACCTTGTTTGGTGGAGAGGAATGAGGTTTGAGCTTACTTTGATAAGGTAAAATCATCTGTAACATGGTAATCACAGCCTGCAATACCTTTGGGCAAAATTAGAGGGTGTCACTAAAATTTAACTGGCTAGACATACAAATTTTGCATACAATCTGGTGCACTATGATGGCTGCATAGCTGTTACCATGTTATTACCACACACATCTGAGATTCTTCACGCTATCCTGGAAGCTAGAGTCCTTGTGTTATCACTGCTGCCACACGACTTGGGGTAGCTTGCCACCATTGGTATTTTGTCAGCGGGCTGGTCTGCTAGGCACAACAACTATATGGATCTCAGCCAGCCAAATGTTTATGTGCACCACATCCCATAAATCATAAGAACCATAGCACATACAAAAAAGTTTATGAATTTTTCAGGTGTTGCAATGATGACTACATAGTTTCAAAAAAACATTCATTTTACTCATACAAAGTTCTTTAAAACGTCATGGCCATTTAATTGTAACTGAAACTGCAGCCTAAATTTGCAATATGATACTGTGCAAACCTTAGTTTCCTACTCTACAGTGTGCACTTATTTCTGTCATACTGTATAATTCTTTCCCAATGGGAGCTATACTTACTTGTATTTTGATATTCTTCTATGTAAACCTAATCATTTTTTTAGCAGAAAAAGTTGTGGTAAAATTTAAAGTGATTGTAAACCTTTACAGAAAAAACAAACCTGCTATGCCTACCTGCTCTGTGCAATTGTTATGCACAGAGCAGCCCCAATCCTCCTCTTCTCCAGAGAATCCTCTCTTCTTCTTTGCCAGAGCTCCTGGCTCGATCTCTTCAGCAAGTGCCCCCATAGAAAGCCGTGCTTGTACAGAAGTACCATGCGATCCAGTTGTCTTTTTTTTTAAAGTAGTGCATACACTGCTCCTACTTTGGTCTGGTGAAATTCAGCCCATTCAAAATGAATGGGCTCAAATCGCACTGCACTGAACCGCTTCCTGTGCGATTTCTGATGTGAACCAGCCCTAAGAGAGGAATACCTATCACTTTGTTTAGATGTACCCTCACTTCCTGTTTTATCATAAGGACAAGAAGTGAAGGGAAATCTCCATTGGACATGGAGAGCAAACATTGACCAGTGTTTTAACCTTTTCCCTACTTTATCCTACACACACTTTAAATACTCTTGAGTATACTATGTTACCTCCCTCTCTAACATTAACCCTATCTCATCTCTTTCAGTCTTTTCATTTGCAACATCTATATCCTTAGTTGCTTCTAAGACCTGATTTTTTCTCTGCTGCAGTTCAGTAATACATATATAGCACCCTCTAGTGTGCTACTAGAATAGTGTAGTGCATTGCAGGTAAATTCATTGTTTATGACTCATGATAACTGTGGTTAAGGTCGGTTATTGAAGGTCAGCTAGATGATAACAGGTTGTGGCTCTATTGCCTCCTCCTGACTCTGGAGGACCATAGAACCTTCCAGAAGTTGGTAAGCAGGAAGGGTTGGAGACCTAATCTGCATGTTTATGGGAGTCTAGACAATCCCAGGATTGGAGGCCCTGGTAGATAGTGGACTGGCCCATAAATATGGGAGGAGTCAGGTGGAAGAGGGAGGTCTGAGGAGACTGTGTCGGTGCTTGGTAGGGGTCCCCTAGATCTGGAAGGGGGGCAGCGGCCTCCAGGCTGGGCTTGAGCTGGCTCAGGAGGATACATTCAGCAGTGCAGCATAAATGGGATCACGACCTGGAGCAGTGGGAGCAAAGAGGACAGAGTGAGTACATCAGTACACCCTGGGATCCACAAGGGCAAAGACTGCCACATGTAGAAAACTTTCAAAGGACAGCACTGGGCTCAATCCTTTATCCTTGTCCCCAGAGATCTTCCAAGCAGCCAGGAGGGCTGGTGTTGTCTGCAGTCTCTGGAGCTGGAAGCAGTTCTACAGGGGGAGAGGCGACATCTCTGTATTTAGTTTCAAGCTGATTTTTTGATGGGCTGCTAGTCCTTGCCCATAAAGGGCTGTTGCTACTGATCTGCAAAGACTGAAGGTTTTCAAGAAAAAGAACAGTCCAGGATCTGTTTTTGTATATAGGAAGGAAGTTGCCCCCCCCCCCCTCATTGAATCAAGCCAGACTGAGCATCCCATAATCCCCATTTCCCTATCCAGGTTATTTCCCCTAATAAAATAACAAAACCATTTATTTGAATGACTACAAAATTATATAAAACAACTGTGCAAAACG